ACAGTGAAGGAATGTCAGGATTCTTGCTCAGAAAAAGGATCAACATGCTCTGAAGTCAGAGCACAAAAACCTTTTATTATATATATTATTATATTATATATTATATATATATTATTATTTATTTTAAATATCGATTTCTGCTGTCCCTGTATCGATACATTATTAGCAAACAAAATATCACAATACTACACAGTATCGATTTTTTCCCCCACCCCTAATTTCCAAGCATATTTTGTTTTTATCTAGGGTTGAGGTGGGGGTTTCCACTTGAATACAAATACAAATACAAAGGCCTTGATTAGGCTAATACACTGAATGATGGGCTTAAATATTAAATCAGTCATGCAATATATTTTTGTCCAAAGTACCTCTATTACAGAGGGTTGTTATAGTTGCATGCTATGTGCAAAGTGGTAAGCATCACTTGTTCACCTGCTCAGGAAATGGGCTTCAAAACCACTCCATTCTCTCTGTAACGATGGTCAGCCAAGAGGTCACGCATTAAACCCTTTGCCCATTTTCTACTGTTACATGATTACATGGACTGGGCTTTATAGACAGCAGTTTGTAACAGACGTGACATTATCAAAACAGGAGTTAGAGCCTCGTAAACACAACGTACATTTGTTAGCATCCACTGAAACAGTTTTCAGTGGATGCATAACATTTTCTGTTATCAAATTTTTTTCCCAGAGATGTTGAGTGGGTTTGAGGTGTGGCGACTGTGAATTGGGAATCCATGCGAGTCAGCAGACCTTGGGCTTCCTTGGCCTTAGGGTAGCTTTGATGCATGATCTAGCTCATTGTTCGTCTGGAAAATGACTGCTCTTGTACAAATCTTAAAGCAAGTAGAGATGACAGCCTCAGAATTGAACGTTACCCGTCTTTGCTTGAGGTGTAGCTTATCCTGTGTAATTTGCCAAGTCAAACAACTACCACACCTTCATATTTTCACTTTGAGTATCTGTGGATGTTATGCACTGCAGCGAGTGTTTTCGAATTCTTTAGAAACCAAGCTTACCTCGACCAAGGTTATGTTTTTGTAGCGGGATTACTTGCCTGACATCATACAAGCCTGTCCACTTCTTACACTTCCTCACAACTGACATTCACTCTAACTTATTTCCACGGGAGAGGGGATTATTTTTCCCCCTAACCAATCACCAGAGACTGACATATCAGATCAATGAATCTAAACAAATACTATGATGTGCAGCCATTACACACAGTGGTTATGGTGGAGTTTTAGGAGTGGTGCAGTGAAGCAAAAGTAGATTATTAAATTGGGCAATTTTGAGGACCAAATGAACAACCTATTACATTTTGGTGGAGATCCAGATCAAGGGGTAGATCGTGGATCTTTTTTCTTCCTGTTTTGCCCCTGTAATTCAGTTATATGAGCAGCTTGTGAGCAGAAATCTCACTCATCTGTTTTTGGGCCCCCCGACTGCTCGGGGGCCACCAAATGCTGACAAACATTAGATTTGCTAAAACTCCCTAAACAGACCCACTTAGCCAAAACCAGCTGTATCAGGATGTGAGTGTGTTGCAGACTTCTAGCGCGAAATATTGTCATTCTTTTTTACTGTTTCCCTTTTATTATTGTGGAATAAATTGTTATTAATCAACATCTCGGTGCTGGCAAAGGGTCTCCTCTGTCACAGTGAGCTTCTGGGTTTATATAAGAAATTAATGAATACTTGTGAAAAGGGCGGGTTGATTTCATCTAACTATAAACAGCATCTTTGGCAGCCAGGTGTGTGCTTCTTAAAGCAGCCTTATTATGCTCATTTCCAGCATAATGGGCCGTCTAATATGCTGGAAATGGGATGATTCATTCTATATAGGGCTTTGGTTATTACTATGATCAGTACAATAGTAGTTTGTGCATTTCAGTGAAACAGAAATAAACCAAAGTTGTATTTTTCTGTTCTAAACTGTAAAATTTTGAAAAAAGGAGCCACAACTTGCAAACAGAAAAGTTTTTTTTGATAAGTAATAACAAAAGCAGTTCTAGGATACAGCGTGTCAAACCCACAAGCAGGAAGTGACAGCACTGTGAGACAGCCTCACAGGTTTTAAAGTATGATGTTTTCTTAGCTGTCCACCAGGTTTCACGGGGGATTTCTGTGAAGTGGATGTTAACGAATGTTGCTCAGCTCCCTGCCACAACGGAGCAGTTTGCCAAGATCTTATTAATAGCTACATCTGCCACTGCAGGCCAGGTGAGTCACTCAGATATCCTGTGAATTTCTCAAATCTTTTTTTTTCTTTTAAATGAGGCAACCAAAGCAGATTTGTTCCTTTTAGTAAGACCGTTTGCAGGGAACCTGTGTAGCTCATGAGCAAGATTACTAAACTATAGCCTTAAATAAGACGTCATGTTTTAAAGTGAACTAAAAACTAAAAGCCTTTTTTTCTGATAGGTGCTAGAGTCCAGTTTACTACATGAAAACCACCTTAATACTTCTAAAATGCACATATTTGATTAAAAGAGACTGCACAAACTGCCACTTAAGGTTACCCTACTGCCTACATAGTTTCTGTACCTCAAAGCCGTTCAAAAGTCATCTCCTTTTTCTCCAGGGAGAAATTTGTAGTCATACAGTACTGAAAAAGACAGTGATAAAAAGACGATACTGCCTTGGCTCATTAAAATGTATGTGGCATCTTACTCTTTAGTGAAAGCCTTTTCTTGTCTATGTATGTGTGTGAACCCAAAAAGAAGCAAATCAATGTAAGAGAATCTGATTGATATTCACTTCAGAGGGTGGAAGTGGGAGAGCCTGGGCTCACCACGGCACTCTGTGGGCTTTTGTTCTTGGCAGGTTGGACAGGCCTTCACTGTGAGGATGACATTAATGAGTGCCTTCCACAGCCCTGCAACCAGGGGATATGCATTCAGAATGATCCAGGCTATGGCTACACCTGTTTCTGTCGTCCTGGATTTGTGGTGAGCCTCTCCACCTTATCCTTTCTATACGTTGCGGTGTTTCTCTTTTTTTTCCCCATTAAAAAGTTACCATCCTGCACCTTCAGCTCTTGAATCCTTTTACCACTTAGATTTCTTTATTGTTTATGCTCTAATCATTTTCCTCTGCATTTTCAATGCAGGAAAAGTAAATGCTTTTTTAAAAATGCACCACTTCATGTGTTTTGTAACTGCTACACTGTATGGGCAACTTGAATCCTATAAAATAACCTGACTTTGTTGGTTTATTACTAGCATTTGTTTTTAGTTTAAACCGTCTTGTTTTTATTACATAATAGCACTGTCTTTTATTATTTAAGCTGTAAACATTACATTCCACTTAGTATCTCCACATCTCCACATACACAGGGGAGTAACTGTGAGCACAACTATGATGATTGCCTGCTGAATCCGTGTCCAGAAGCATTTTCCTGTGTAGATGGCATCAACAAGGTCAGCTGCCTGCCTCCTGTTATGGATCCTGTTCCCTTGGCGACTGCAGTCGAGAACATCACTCGCGGCTCCACACCCAGAGTGCCGATGCCGACACTCTTCCCGGCACCAGCAGCTGAGGGGTCCACAGGTATGGACGGCTCTGTGCATTCATGTGAGGACATGCAGCGGCAGGAGTCAGTGAAGATGTAGAATTCATAATACTCCTCCTCATGTCAGAGAGAAGTGTTTTCCAGTCTGCTACAGTACATTTATATGACAGCTCTAATTACAAGCTACTTTTCAGATAAAGATTTTACATAAACATAAGACACAGTAAGTTTATGAAAAATGCATCGCTAAGGAGCGAGCCAGTGGTTTCTGATGCGTTTTAGATAGTAGGAGTTGTTGATACTTCCCTCAAATAGCTGCATGTAAATTCATCCTTAAGGATACAACATGAAAGTCTAAAAACTGAAATGTATAATTCTGTTATTCATTTAAAAGGAAAAAAAGCTGCATTTTCTTCTTTCCTGTCCCATTAATCATATCTCAAGCCCTCTCATTTGTCATGTGACCCTGACTCGAGTGAGTGGAAACTGCAGAACAGTCTTAACCTCTTAACATATACACTCACCAGCCACTTCATTAAGTACTGCCTTCAGAATTGCCTTCATTCTTCATGGCTTCAACAAAGTGCTGGAAACCTTCCTTAGAGATTTTGCTCTATATTCACATTATAGCATAACACAGTTGCTGCAGATTTATCAACTACTCATCCTTGATGTGAATCTCCCACATCCCAAAGATGCTTTGTTGGATTGAGATCTGGTGACTGTCGAGGCCATTTGAGCACAGTGAACTCAATATCATCTTCAAAATACCAGATGTGCACACTTATGATCGGAAAGGGATGGACATGGTCTGGAACGATACTCGGATAGTCTGAGACATTTAAAAAATGCTCAGTTGGTATTAAGGGGGTGAAAATTACATTACAACACAACTACCAGCCTGAACCGTTGAGGACCGGATGGATACATTTTTTCATGTTGTTTACAGCAAATTCTGACTCTACCATCCGAATGTCACAGCCCAAATCGAGACTTATCAAACCATGCAACATTTTTCCAATCTTCTGTTGTCCAATTGGACAATGCCAGTGGGAATAACAACCTCAGTTTCCTGTTCTTTGCTGTCAGGAGTAGCACCCATTGTGGTCTATTGCTGTTTCAAGGTTTGAGGTGTTGAGGTGCATTCAGACATGTTTTTCTGCATACCGTGGTTGAGTTACTGTCACCTTCCTATCAGCTTGAAGCAATCTTTCTATTCATTTTTCTTTGACCTCTGGCATCAACAAGTCATTTTCACATACAGAACTATTCCTCACTGGATGTGTTTTCTTTTTCAGACCATTGTCTGTAAATCCTAGAGATGATTGGGCAGAAACATCCCAGTAGATCAGCAGTTTCTGACTTATACCAGCCCATCTGGCATCAATAATCATGTCACATTTGACTTAACTAAAATTGCCTTTCTTCCCTATTCTGATGCTCAGTCAGCTGAATTTCAGCAGGTCGTCTATACATATGTACATGCCTAAATGCACTGAACGCTGCCATATGGTTGGTTGGTTAGTTATGTGTGTTAACAAGCAGTTGAACAGATCTAGCTAAGAAAGTGACCGGTGAATTTATATAATAAAGTGATACAATGTAGAAACGTATTATCTCAGTAGAAGGAGCTGCTGAACATTTAATTCATTTCTTATTTTTACATGTGATCTTATCTGCAGGCTTTACTTATAGTGAAGTAATTTGACACTGCCGTATTGCTTTTTAAAATAAAAGTAAAATATCTGAGTACTCCTCTGGGCTCTGCGAAGATGGATGCTGCAGTATCCTAATAATCTCCAAATGCACTTTAGTTGTTTTTGAAAGTCAAACGAACAACTTGAAAGGCTGTAAACACTTAGAGTTTCCTTTTTTGCTTCTGTTCAAATTGGTTTCTAATCTTCTGACTTTTTGGTCCTAATGGTATAATTTGTATTTATTTATTTTTAGGATGGTTCTACGTACTTTTCTTGTGGCTCTTTTCATAAAAAGAACCTCAACTCGATATGATCGTAAGTTTTATTGTATTATTTTATATTTAGAGCTCAATGCACAGACTCAGATATTACGCATGGAATCTTAATGGCAGTTCTACTCAAATATGGCAGTGTATCAACTTAAATTAGCACTTCTCAATCGAGTCATAGCTCCCATTACTATGCTATTACTTCCATTAACGTTATGTCTTTTGAAAAGTGACATTAAATTATTTAAAATGATAAGCCATTACAGCAATTAATTTGTACTGATGGTTGGTTTTCTGACAAATTACAAATCTATCCTTCTCTTGTCCTTCCTACCAAACACAAGCTTTGCCAGTTTCCAATGCGGGGAGACTCCCACTAAGCTGGCACTCCAAATGTGATTTTTAGAGTCTTTGGAACATAGCAGGCGATGATATATTTGGTTTGATTTAGAGCTTGTTATACTTTGTGCAGCTGTGGTGGAAAAATAAATCCTGCTGAAATCTAGTTCCGCATTTGCCACTGAAGTACCCTTTCTATTTTTATTTGAGAACAGTCATTTCAAGGAGTAACAAGTCCAATCATTATTTCGGGCTATATCCTTTAACACTCAAATGATCGACACAGAACACAATGTGATATATATTGTTGGTATTGGATTCAGTCATCTATGTGAGGGTAGGAATTCGGAACACTGGGCAGATTGTCACTCTGTGACAGATGAGGTCTGTCTCCCTTTGAAACTGTTCACAGAACTGTAAAACACACCTATTGAACACAGACAAGCTTGAACCAATTCGGTGCGGCACTCTGAAAATCACTGTGGGCCAAACATAATGGAGTCCTCCCTGCCGCACCTGATCCAGCCCTCGTCCCGTGCGTTAGTTTGGAAGGGGTTAAATGTAAACACCAATCAGCGGTGGAGAAAAAAACCAACCCGACCACCTCTTTTACATGCGATACGTGCATAATGAAGGTAAATAAGTTTTAAAGTAAGGGGACCCAGAAACTCACGAGTTTATCTAACTAGGTCACCATCTAAACACATGCAGTGCCCTTGGTGGTGCTTGAAATAGACTCAGACAGTGCTCCTTTAAACCTAAAGCTGCTCCCCAAACCTCTCAAATATATGAAATCAATGGGAATTTAAATATAGAGTGGATAGTGAATTTCTGGTAAATTAAACAACCTATTAATATTGCCAGTAGATAAATATCTTCATCTTTATTTTGATTTAGTTCAGTTTCAAAGCAGTACTAGCAACAAAAAAGAATGAGGTGATTGTCTTCAGGTTTTTATTTATTTATTTATATATTTTCCCCCCTCTCGCTCCACGTGCAATGATGAGCTCCACAGTATTTATTCTCTACAGTGTGAGAACTGATGAGAATCTAGAAAGGACACTGCTGGTGGAGGGAGGCTTACTGCCGCTAAGCCACGATTTGGTTGACTTTCCTTGAAGTGATCACTACAGCACAGGTGAAGCTGTTATCTTTTCCTGCCACATGTAGCAAAACTGAAATTACTCAAGTTCCTCAAAATCAACTTGATGAGTGAAAAGTTAATCACTTCAAACATGCAGTACCTGCCTCGAGGCAGTCACCTTGTTAATCTTCCTTTTAACGCACATGCATTTGTTCTCAGTGCCACGCGTTTATGTTTTGTTTTTTGGGTTGTTGTTTTTTTTCTCAGTTTGTTTGTAATTTAGATGACGGTGCATGGTAAGTACGCCCATAACTATTCTGATATATTCAGTGACACAGCTTTGCCAGTGAGTCATATTGACATTCACAAGATATGCAGAGTTATGAATATTCATGGGGGAAAGGCTCAGTAAGATGAAAAAGGCAGTGTCTGAATTTATCATTTCAACTCTAGTTTATGGCCTCTGCTTCTGTACAGTAACTGTCAGTGCAGTGCATTGGTGTAATTGTATCAGTTATTTTTAAAACCAGACAACACAGATATAATTAGACACTACATTTAAAAACACATTATATTTAGGAATTATTCTCTACAGGATTCATTTATTGTCTACAGTGTAAATATATTCAGTTAAGTCTTCTTGTATTAGGTATATTGAATATAAGATATTTTCAGCCAGTTTTTCCAAGTACACAATGACCTTTTGTGTTCCCTCGGGGCTCTGAAATTGCAGAGGTCCTGGAATGATCCTCAGCAGTATTATATCTCTGTCCTGTGACAAGTTCAATCAGTCAGTCTATTACTTTAGCCAATAAATCAGGGACCAAACAGGACTTATATCCTGCCTTTTTTAAATAAATGGGACATTAAGTCTATATCAATTAATTCTCACAGCCCAGAGTCTATCCTCCTATTAAGTGATCTTAAGTTCACATTTACTCCAAATATATATTTCTAGTTGAATATCTCCTGCTTTAACCTGTCTGACTTCCACCTACACTTTGTGCTGCAACATGGCGCTCCACCACTCTATGTTACATTAAATATGACTCATACCAATTTTCTAACCTCCTTTATGGTCATGTATTAAGACGGGCCCTAATTAAATCTGATCTCAGAGATTTGTATCAACCAATATTCCCAGAAGTGGCAAACTGCTTGGTCAGCAGTATGTTAACTGTGGGTTTTTTGTTTTTTTTTTAAAAAAGAGAAACCTAGTGGTGCATTATCAGGATATGAAAGTGAGAAAATATAAGATAGTTTGCATTGTGTACATTTACTATTTAGATTTAGCATGACTGGTTACTTGAGGCATTCGCATTAAAAACCCCAAAAAACATCTGGTATGAGAGTGTAAGGTAGTGGTAAAAACAGGAGACCTTTGAAGGGAAAGACTGAAGCTAACTGCTAATGAGGCGTGATACTGCCTCCTGGCAGCAGCCTCAGACTGCATCAAAGACTACATCAGACTAAACAAGGCTTTAAAATTAATGAATAGCTTTGTCTCTGAGGGGTAATTTTCCATCATCAGCATTGGCAAACCCTATTGTCAGGAAAGAAGCAGTAGACAGCACCGCATTGTTGCTGCATGCATTTATCCTCATTAATTCACACACCGCAGTAGGTCTGTTCCTTATAATTCTTACTTTATGTTATTGTGTGTTTTTCCTCAGGGTATTGGCCATACTTCTCTTGAAAGAAAATGGAGGTATTTAGGTTAGCTTGTTTGCCAAATGTCCTAGGGGGCAAGCTGTCAGATCAAAGGAGGTCTGGCCTATTAGGACTTGACGTCTAACAAATATTGATAAAGGTCTCACTTGCAACTGCCCAATTAATCATCGCAACAACTTTAAAGGAGTGTCTGATTTCTCTGGTTTAAAATTTTATATGTATAATTTTTTTTCTTAAACTAAGATGAGAGCCAATAGAGTATGAGACAGGTGCATCCAGTAATGCTTTTCATTTTAACAGGCTCTCGGCTTTGACTTTTCTGCAACAAATTCCAATATTTCCTTCAAATGAGAAATATATTGAGCATGAGCACCCTAATGCTTTTCTCCAATTGCAGTCTCAGTCAGTCTTTTAAAGTTGTCAGCGTCACTACCCCCAATAAGCTTGCGGGCAGTGGAACTTTTACTGAAATACCCCATAATTGCCCATTCTCATGGATGATATAAGCCAAGTTATTCCACTATAAAATGAGGCATGTAATAAACTTGTATGAATATGTTCATTTCAGCCAAGACTCCTTTTTCACCTAATATAGTGCCATTTGCATGCTTCACAGCTTTTTGGCAAATAAGACTATTTATAGTATGAGTGTACAGTGAGCGAAAGAGAAAATATTTGAAGAGTCCATAAGTCTTTTCATCTGCTTTCAAAATAGTAATTATTCACTTTTCGCATCTTCTTTTGACTGTCCTCTCATCTCTCATCTCTCATCTCTTTTTAATGTATTCCATCCATATTTCCGAGATCAATTGATGGATAAAGATTGCATCTACATTCGTGAAGCAACATAGGCAGAAAAAACAGGAAGTCCGTAGTAGAAGTGGCGCAACCACTTGCCCTGCTCAGGTGTCACATTCTGAATCTTTAAAATTGTTAAGAGCCTTTTCTTTATCCTACCCCATGCACTAAACCTTCCTGTAGAGGAACCAAATGAAAAGCTGAATTCTCTTTTCGGATCAGTCGAGATTCTCAGTGGAATTTACAGGAAACTTCAGACCTTTACCTTTTTCTCCCAATTGATCTGTCTTTCTTTTTTATGTCCTAGATTCAAGCTACCTTCATTATTTTGGGAATTCATACCTGGAGTTTCCAGGTATTGACCTCAGCACTCTCAACAATATAACTGTGAGATTTCAAACCACTGTGGCCCAAGGAACTATACTATATGTGGACCAAGGACCTGTTAACGGTGATTTCTTTTTCATGAAACTCTTCATCCTCGATGGAATCTTACAGGTAGGTTAAATTTATTGTGTATTGTCTGAATGAGTATATTTTCTCATTTTTGCTCTCGAAAGACAAATATTCTGTAATGAAATAAAAAGCCCATGAAGCTCCCTATTAATGTTTCAGTATGCTTTTTGCTGTAATGAAGAGGAAGAGGTTACATGGATTACTACATTAAATCATGTTAATGATGGCACAGTTCACATTGTAAATATCAGGTATGTATTCTATTTTTTTCTCAAGTCTTAGATTGTAGAGATCTACATAAGCGCTTTGAGGGTCTTGAAAAGCGCTATATAAATGCAATCCATTATTATTATTATTATTGTCTATCTGTGTTTCCCTCTACCCTTTATGAAGCAATTATATATATCAGAATAAAAGTCTGAATATGTTGATTGATTGAACCTTGAATATACTGAAAGAAACTTTAATGCACAGTATGAAATTAAAGTCTGGGTGTATTCAGTGAAATTCAAATACATTGAATGAAAGTCTGAATACATTGAATGAAACTTGAATGTACTGAGTGAAACACTATATATATAATGAAAGTCTGAATGTATTGAAAACTGATGTTACAGAGGCTTTTGCTCCTTTTGTGTTGTGTTTTAAATATGTAATATAATAGCATATAAAGCAGCATTTCTTAGTACTGAAGACAACACTACAGAAAATGAATATAGTATCCAAACTATGCCAGTAACATGTTTCAGTTTTGTGAAATTTTGTCACTCATTATAGAAGACTGAATGGACTGAGCCTTAAGCTGGCAAAAGCAATACTGACTGCAGAGAAACATCCCATTTTAAAGACCCACGAGGTCTGTGTATCTTGTAGCATAAGTCGTTTACAACTTTGCCAGACCTGGCCATGAAACAGGACATGGAGGACCTAGCTTGAGTTCCTAACACATCACTTGTTCTCTTTCATAGCATTCGTTTCGTGTCTCACTATGGGAACGCCTCCTGCGTGACCTCATCAGAAGCTCAAATACCATTACGCCAGCC